CATCCTGGACAGTTCTCTGAAAACATCCGCTCTGACTTAAATATCTCCAGAGAGGGAGATTCCACCACCTCCCTTGGCAATTTATTCCAATATTTGACCACCCTGACAGTTAGGAATTTTTTCCTAATGTCCAATCTAAACCTCCCTTGCTGCACTTTAAGCCCATTACTCCTTGTCCTGTCCTCAGTAACCAAGAGGAACAAATTTTCTCCTTCTTCCTTGTGACACCCTTTTAGATATTTGAAAACCGCTATCATGTCCCCCCTTAATCTTCTTTTTTCCAAACTAAACAAGCCCAGTTCATGAAGCCTGGCTTCATAGGTCATGTTCTCTAGACCTTTAATCATTCTTGTCGCTCTTCTCTGTACCCTTTCCAATTTCTCCACATCTTTCTTGAAATGTGGTGCCCAGAACTGGACAAGTTAAGGAAAAGTTATTTACTTAGTCCCGCAAATATAAGAATTGGAGGTCACCAAATGAAATTAATGGAAAGCAGGTTTAAAACAAACCAAAAAAGACTTTCTTGAAATGTGGTGCCCAGAACTGGACAAGTTAAGGAAAAGTTATTTACTTAGTCCCGCAAATATAAGAATTGGAGGTCACCAAATGAAATTAATGGAAAGCAGGTTTAAAACAAACCAAAGGAACATTTTCTTCATGCAGTGCACAGTCAACCTGTGGAACTCCTTGCCAGAAGGTGTGGGGAAGGCTAAGAATTTAACAATGTTCAAATAAAAGCTGGAGAGATTCATGGGGCTTAGGACCATCAATGGCTATTAGCCAGGATGGGTAGGAATGGTTTCCCTAACCTCTGTTTGTCTGGAAATGGTAGGAGAGGGATCAGGTGAGGTTTCCCTGTTCTGTTCCCTCTCTCTGGGGCACCTGGCATTGGCCACTGTGGGCCAACAGCACACTGGGCTGGATGGACCTTTGGTCTGACCCAGTCTGGCCATTCTTATGTTCTCTGGTGAGCGCCTCCCACTGGCTAGCTTAGGCAGCTCCCTGCCGGGCCTACTGGCTTGTCCCATTCCCAGACGCTTACATCCCCCCATAACTCAGTCTTGGGGGCTCACAGAGTCGTGCCAGGGATTTTCTGGGCAGCTACAATTCCAGGCAGCGCCGTTCAGCGTTGCAATACCCCAGCCCCTGCCTGGAGCTAAGCTGCAGAAAGGAAAGCTCCCAGCAGACAGCAGCCTCAGGAGCTTGGGGCCCGGTGTTATGTTCAGAAGCACACGGGATCTTTTTCATGGGAAAAGGCAACATCCTGAATTTATTGCAAATACAGTAGAAAAACAGTTAGCGTCTGCTTCATAAAGTGTCCCCCTCACCCACACACAACGTCTTGTCGTTGCTTGAAGTTACCAGCCTGCTGCTCACATTAACTCACTGGCCAGGCAAGTTAAATGTGAGGGGCAGGAGCGGGGGTTTCTCTCAGTCCGGACTGATGCTCCAATGTTGACGAGACCTGGAGATTCATGCAAGACGCTCCATCTCTTATAGGACTTTTCTCCTATTCAAGGCTATGCATTTTGCCTCATCAACTCTTAATCAATCACCATCCGTTCTGCTTAATGTCTGTTTATCTGGGCATTATTTGTAACGGAGCGCTTGCTTCTTCACACTCCAAGCTGTCCATATGTCCCCCAACGGTCTGCTTTGCATTGGGCCCAATTTATGGTACTTTGACGCCTCTGAGTCCCCTCCCCTCTTCCACTGTCTGGACTCTGAAACTGTTGGGCATCTAAGTTGTTACCTCTCCACACACTCTATTCCCTTCCCTCTCCTGCCCCATGAACATTCATTCTCACACTGCCCATTCAGCACGTTACATAACACATTACAAAACTCTGTGGTCTACACTGGCCTGCTTTCCTGATCCCAGCTGGGCCCCAGAACCCCCAAGGCAGGGGGGAGCTAGTGAGGGATGGTGCTGTCCGGTTGGTTGTTTTGTGCGACCTGATCTGAACTCTCTTGTGCTTTCTCTGGTGAACTGACAGAGCACTGCGGGGTGGGACTTGTGCAGAGTCTCTGTGTGTGTTCAGTGCTACCCACCTGCTTCATGTCTCTGGACAGAGATCCCCTCAGACGGGGGGTTTCAGCATGTGGGAATCCAAAGGGTCAGCTCGGCACCAGAGTGTTAGGCAGAGGGTTACGCACCTCAGGCAGGGCCTAGACAGCCTGCCCCCAAGCATGTACCCAGGGACCCCAAGATTGGGGCAGGGGATGGGCCTCTGATTTGGTCCCATTTTTTTCTCTTCATTTTATCCCTTTCCCTCTGGCTGTCCCAATGAGATCTAATGACCCAGCTCTGTACAAAAATCTCCCTGCTCCCAGCTTCTCCCCAGCCCCCCTCCCAACCCTGATTAATTCTGTGACCTACCACCCTCACCTCCTCCTCACCCCAGCCCAGCTGTTACTTCTGCCCCTGCCCAGCCCGCACCTCTGCCTCTCCCCTGCCCAGACCCCACCTCTCCCCCGCTGCTTCCATGTTTCTTCCCACATATGACTGTGGTGCAGGAAGAGGGCGGAGGAGGTTTCAGGGATCAGAGATGAGGAGCCAGGGGCTGGGTACAGGGGAGTCTTACAGGATCACAGAGACTGGGGCGTGCGATGCCTTAGGGGCTAATTTCACAACAGGGGAGTCTTACAGGATCACAGAGACTGGGGTATGTGAAGCCTTAGGGGCTAATTTCATGGAGAGAGGCTGATCTGGGATCCTGACCCCACCCAGAGCCAGGGTCAGATTTTCTCCCCAGGGAGGGAGCCTGGCAAGAAAGTGAAGATCGGGGCCTCAGCTCCAGCATCGATAAATGTCACCTGCCCCCGGTCACAGTCCAGACAAACCCGGA